AATCAAACTCAGGACCTTGCACTTGCCAGGCAGGCACTTATGCCTCTGAGCTATATCCCCAGTCCCCCAGTGTTTTATTTTTAATAGCAGAGTGAGACATTCATGGGAGAATTAACTCCCTGTCACTAGCAAAAAATATGTCCATTCCATTCCCTTCTATCCTTTAATCCATCACAATCCTTTTGTGCCATTTGGCCAAACAAAGGTTTAAGGTTGGGTTTGAAAAAAAATCTTCATTTTCCTTTTTCTATCCATGTTGTTTAGGAAAGTTGAAATAATACTATAACTAATTGAGTTACATTCAAGTCATTAAGGTTTTTTCTTCCCTCATCACTCAGTAGCTATATTGGGAGATAAACTGACACATATTCAAAGGATAATGTTTTACATAACGCCTTTACTATCTAAATTTTTAAACCATTCACTAGCATTTTGGTTTAGGTGTTTTTTTGTTTTTTTTTTTTTTTTTTTTTTGGTCTAACTTTGTAGCCCAAGCTGGTTTTGAACTTGCAATAATCCTCCTGCCTCAGCCTCCCAAGTCAAATGCTGAGCTTGCACCTATCCTCCTGCCTCAGTCTCTTGAATGTGAGAGATTACAGGCGTGTGCCACAATGCCTGGTTTTCACTAGCATTTAAAAATAACTTATTCTTAGAAATAGTTTTGTCTTGCCAAAAACTGGAATGTGTTTAAAAGGTTTCAGCATGTTTTAGAACTTCTACTTGTAAGAAGTGAATGTGTTATAAATATAGCATTTCTATTCCTCATTCATACATAGAGCTGTAGTGATTTGTTGCCAATTAAGTTGACAGGTGCAATACTTGAGACATGTATTATGTCTGCCTTGTGGATGAGCATGTAACCAAACATGTTTGTGTTAATGACATACAAAATTATCCCTCTCCGTCATCTGAAAAGAAGAGTTAAGAAACAAAATTAAGGACCAGAAGGCTCTATTTAAATAGTTTCCAAAGATTATTTATCTTTATTTTTATTTATTTATTTATCTTATTTTTTACTGTATGTATTTGGTACATGTAGGGAGTTGCATGTAGCCGCGCCCTAGGATGGCGCCGGTTTCCGCCTTCCACCCCCTCCAGGCCCCTGCTCTTAGCTTATAAGTCTCAGGGCTTCCAACCATGGGGCGCCACGTGTGTACCGTCCATTGGTCCAGGTACGCAGAAGCAATGCATTAGCCCAAGCCTTGGCCTTTTATGGAGTTGTTGATTACCAGGTGTGCTCACCCCCTGAGGGGGTGGAAGGCGGAAACCGGCGCCATCCTAGGGCGCGGCTACACGCAGCTCCCTACAGCGTGAGAGCAGACCACTTTGAAAGGACACAGTAGCAGCTCAATGACCACTGTCTTCTTAAGTTTCCCACTCCTCAGGCTAGTGTTAAGACATGGGCTGTCCTATAAAAAAATCTGAAGTTCTCATGAGGTGAATTAAAGATGGCACTCTGGGTCCACATGCTAAGTTTTGGGTACTGTTCTGCACAAATGCTCTAGGATTTTGTAATAGGTAGGTCAAATCCACTTCCCCAGCCAGCTCTGCCATGCCCTCATCTCCTGCCTTATTTTCCCCCTTAGAGACATAGCCCCTTGAACCTTTATGGGGTACTGAAGGAGTGAAGATCTCTATCATCCTATAGCTACTTTTTGCTAAAAGGGGATGTAGGCCCTACCTACTGGGGATTATGTGCTTTCTAACTACTTTGGTATGTCATGATTCATCAGCCAGGCTGAAGAAAAAAAATGTAAACAACTTGCAACTTATTATGAATTAAAAATAAGTACATATGAGGCACAAAGATAGACTAAAAGAGTGATTTTGGGGGGATAAAATGAGGATGAATGCTACCAAAGAACTATTTTCCTGGAAAATTTATATTCACAATGGATACTATATAAAGAATAAAAAGGCGTTTGATAAGTTAGCAGTGTGAAAAGATAGTGCAGCCAAAGGAAAGTGCATATACAACTTGCTATTTCTAGATATGAATTTAAACTTGAGAGATGGCACAATAAAGATATGGAAGGGCTGGGGAGATAGCTCAGCAGTCTAAGTGCCTGCCTGGCAAGTGCAAGGACCTGGGTTCAATCCTCTGTACTGCATGCTGTGCCAACCCCGCCTGAATCTCAGTGCTGGAGAGACTGAGACAGGATCACTATGAGTCAAAAAAAAAAAAAAAAAAAAACCAAAAACGAAAAACAAAAATAAAATAAAACCCACTATGAGTCCAAGCTGCATAGCGAGACCCTGCACCAAATAATAATAATGAGGAGGAGGAGGAAGAGGAGGAGGAGGAAGATGAGGAGGAGGAAGATGAGGAGGAGGAGGAAGA